TTTTGTTAGCAAACATTCTGAAATATATTTCAGAATTTAAAACCGGTTTTATTAAAAGCACAAATATTGTTAAAACGTGGATGAATTCTCATTTGTGATTTAAATGTTCTAAAATTCAAATATGTTATATAGTAGATATATTTTTATTATTGTTTTACTTTTATAATTGCTCAATTATTTTCGGTAGTATTCAAAAATCATGATTTTGTAAATTTTGAGTATTCAGAGCTTCACTCAGATTACACGCGTATGAATAATTCGAATAAAAATGAATAAAACGAATAATAATAATGCACAAATAATTCGAATAAAAAATGAATAAAACGAATAATTCAAATAAAAGGATAAAACAAAAACGAATTACGAATAGAAATAAAGATTTTTTGGATTTTGTTAGCAAACATTCTGAAATATATTTCAGAATTTAAAACCGGTTTTATTAAAAGCACAAATATTGTTAAAACGTGGATGAATTCTCATTTGTGATTTAAATGTTCTAAAATTCAAATATGTTATATAGTAGATATATTTTTATTATTGTTTTACTTTTATAATTGCTCAATTATTTTCGGTAGTATTCAAAAATCATGATTTTGTAAATTTTGAGTATTCAGAGCTTCACTCAGATTACACGCGTACAGTATCTCTGTCTGATAGTGGTGATAATGATGACAAAATTTATTTGATGATGATGATGATAATAATAATATCAATATTCATGATGTAAAGCAGTTTGCCGGAAAAGTTATTTCCCATATTACACAAGACGTCATCTTGGAATAAAGAATTTTAAGTGTGAATATCCAAAAATATTTACTGATAAAAGATCTTAAATGTGAAACCCAGGATGTCCAAAAGCATTTTATCAAAACGGTGATTTGCCGAGACACACAAAATATCATAAATGTGGAGAAGTGCTTAGATGTGACAAAAGTTACCAAATATGAACTAACCTAGAGTTCATAATAATAAATAATTTATTAGATGATGTATGGATAACTAATATTTCCGACAAATTAATTCATTGCACTAGTCTTTGAGTGATCGGTTTTTTTTGTTCGTTAAGAATTATTTATTTCACTTTTATATATTAGAAAAAAGTTTTTTTTCATATATACAAACTCAAACGTGGAGATTTGCAGCAGTTGAAACGATAAATATTATTTCTCTGGATCGTCTTATTACTTGATTCTTTAGAAAATTATTCATTTCCGAAAAGGTTGTGCTAAAGATTTCACTATTTTTTTTTTAGACAATGTAAATAGGCAAGCATAAGACTCGAAAAAAAAAGAATTGCCTTGCTCTCTATTGAGTACAACATACAAATTATGCAAATATCAATTTGAATTTTATACCTAAATCTTAGAAAGACCCTGTAAAATATATTTATGAATTTATCTCTTGAGAAAATTACAGTCAAAGAATATATTTTGAAAAAGAAAATCGCGGAAGATCAAGTCATAGTAAAAATCAAAGACTCTTATCACATTCATCGAACAATTATGCGAGTTCTGCCGTTTATGGTAATGCTATTATTATAACCAAAGAAGATGGGAATATGGACGGTAAGAGTATCGAGGAAGTTAGGTTTCTTCTCAAAGAGATAGATATTGGCATGGATATTTATAATTATGTTTAATTGAGCGAGGAATCAGAAGTCATAGTAATACACAATCAGTGAATCTCCCAAAAAATTCATAGTATTACACTAAATCAAGATATCCGTAAAAGCAAGACATCTATATATAACAAGTCTTATAATTAAATCACTTATATGCCAATATTAATACCAAAAAGGTTATCAATAAATTCTAAAAAATTTTTTTTTTGTTGTACATATCAATGATCGTTGCTACCCGTTGTTTATCATGAACGTTGTATAGTATTAGGATGATAATGAATTCTTAAAAAAACATCCGGTAAGATAGTAATTATGATATAGTAATAACTAATATAAAGCTGCATTTGTTTACTTATTTATTTATATAATAATTAAATAATTTTATAAATTGTAACCAATCATTTTTAGATGTTATTTTGTGACTCGCAGATAATGACTTTAGAAGAAAAAGAGTTGACATTATTTATGTACAGATTTTCTGATTTTTAACCCCAAATTTCATAAAAAGATATCAATTGGCTGTTAACGATTATTATAAATTAGTTATTTTTCAATTTAAGTAATAATAAGTTATTCCATGGTTCTCCGTGGATACCGATGATTTTCACCGCGTGATAGTAGCAGTGAAAAATTCCCGATTTATCCTCATGGAGACCAACGCCCTGTGATTAAAAAAATTTTTTTTCGTTGCTCGCTCTTTCATTCTTTCCCAATTTATTTCTTTTATCTCAATCTATTTTTACTAGTGCAAGTGCTCTTTGCCTTTTTCCGAGGCTTCAACATCTCTTTTACCTCAAGTCGGAGTGATTGACTCTATTTCTCAAGATACTTCAATATCAATTCCCTCCTACACAAACATCATTTGAAATTCAAATTTTTATCGTCAAAAAGCTCTAGTAAACAAAAATAAATATCTCCCTATTATGAATACTTTAACTCGCCCACAGAACTATCAAGATCTTCAATTATTGAAGTAATATAGTAAAATAGCATAAATACTATCAATGGTACGCCCAAATTTTCTTCGAATGATATTTTAATAAACTGATTTTTTACTGCATCTGTAAAAAATATTTCCGCGATTTTCAAATTATCATTATGGGTTGATTATTAATACAATCATTGAAATGTTGATCTATGACATAAAAAATGAAATCCATGTGAATCTGCAATTCAACAATTGTGTAGAATATATACATATGTTGCTGCTTTTTCAATGTGGTTGCCAAGTAGTATTACCAAGATCAATTGATATTTCTCCACATAAGATTCTATTTCTATAAAAATTTCGTAGGTATCACTTTATCACCAGAAGACTTGTAAATCTTTTTTGTGGTGTCACTATTTAAAAATAAAAATAAAAATATGTAAATAAGGCACAAGTTGATGTAAAAAATCCAAATTTGGTCAGGGACCCCCTAAAGTCTTTAATTTGAATTTGGCCCTTTCAAGTTTTGATAAAAAGTAAATTAATAAAGTTTTCATGATTCGAGCTTCCCGATAGTTGAATTTTTTTTTTTAGTATTAGCATCATCATCGTTGTGATGTGAATATTCATTGCATTTAATTTTACCTAAAATTCATTCATTCTCATATTGTGTAACGGTGATGATAATATCCTCAGCCAAATGAAGTTTAAACCTGAATGAACAAGCATGCATGATGGAATATGGGTAATACGAGATTTTGACGAAAAAAGTTTAATTCTATAAATAAAATATAATCAATATCAAAATAAAATAAAATCAAGTAATTTATAAATCATATGATAAAAAAAAACCTTTGTACAGGTAAGGTGGCACATGACTATTATTAAAGACATCATCATTTTTTATATTTGGATACTGATTCATGTAAACTTTTCAATATTATGTATTACGGTCACCAAAGAAAAGCCTCAAACCCGAATGTTCTTATTATTCTGATGTGTGCTTTAAGTGGGTGTTATGCGGGCAAAACCATTTTCATCAAGTATAGGCTTAAATAGTTGATATTTGGATTGTTTTTGAAAATTGTTGATTTTTTGATAATGCCAAATTCAATTTATTTATAGTTTGTGTAGTTGATAAATCCTTCCAACTAATCACCCATCAGCATTATCATAATTATTATAATGGGAAGTTTTGTTGGAGGAAATGAAGATTAGTCATAATTGGGAAAATCTTTCCTAGAAAATAACATTGATTATGTATGTCGTAAATTATTTTTAACTTGAAATGTAAAAAACAATTCAAATTTTTTTTGTATTATATTTTTATATATAGAAAATAATACATAAATAACTATTTAATACTAATTAATTTAAACTTTATTATTCATTATTAAAAAGGAAAAACGTATGATGACGCTAAGACAAACATTTTGTTTTCTTAACCTTTTTTGTCTGTTATAATAATTCAGGTAATGATTTTCAGTAATAAAACAATTGCTTCACCTATCTCAAGGAAAATTCGTCTGTCGATTTTTAGTCATCTCAAACATCACAGATAAATAGAAACTTAAAAGAATGACGTGACATGAAAATACTTTTTTAAAAAAATCAACAGCATCATCACTCGCCATTGGCGTTTTGGAATTGCTTCCAAGACAAGTCTGGTCGTTCGTTTTGAGTGATTTTAAAGTCCTGAACAATCATTGTATAATTAAAAAACTGAATGTGATTTTCGATAAATATTTGCTTTGTTTAACTCATGGTATATAAATAAATGATTGGATCAGGTGTTGAAAATTATAATCCCCGTAAAAAAAATAGTGACATTTTTGAGCACTTTGTTTAGCAATAATGTCAAGTATAAACAATAAACAGTTAGATTGATATATGGATATACGAAGCGAATTCAATGGAAGGGAAAATCTGTTGTTTTGACATTTCGATTGATTGTGAAAAATAACCCCCTTTAGCAAACGCAGATCAAAATCTGGTTTTAATCGACAAAATGCCTCTTGATATTAACCATATTAATCATTAATATTTTATAAAATTCGAAAGCTCGAAAAAAGAATGTCGCGATTTAATATTAATGCATTCATTATTATTATTATTATTATTATTGTTAAACAAATAATGAGCTGCTTGGCATGTTTATCATTTTTTTTTACGCTTACCAATGGAAAAATAATGATATTAATTTATTAATTAAATCTCTGGAGTGTAACAATAATAAATGACTAAATGAATTTTTTTTTGATCAGACTTGTTTTGTTCTAGGACTGTCTATTAATTACAAGTTTTAAAATAAAAGATTTTCTATTATTAATTTTAAATTATTAATTTTTATTTAATATAGAAATTTCTATAAATTTAATTTCATGCACGATAAATATTAAATAAGAAAGAGGCTTTGATCACATTTTTTTTAAAAATATTTTTTTCAAAAAAATGCCAAATTCAATTATAAACCCTGTTTTATCAAACCACAGACAAAATTTTAATAATAACCGCGATAAAGAAGTTGATGTTGATAAACCTAATTATTTAACATCAACTCATCTGCCAAGTAATATTAAAAAGAGGCAGAAGAAGAAGAAAGGAGACGAGTCAAATCTTATTGGAAAAATAACAAATTACATCAGCCAACAAAGCAAAAATCCTAATAATGATGAAAAAAAACCAACCTCGATAATACAAGACTCAAGTTATAATAAAGTTTACAACAATACCAATTTTGTTGGTTCATTTTCAAATCTTTATATTGACAACAACGAACTACAACCTTCAAATGATTCTTCGATAAA